TCCTGGATTGCTTTAGGTAAAGCAATCTGTTGGTATGAGTATGTTTAGTATCTTAGAAGTCCACAGGTAATCGTAATGCACCCTCAAGCAAAACCATTTAGGATGTTTTCTTTTAAGGATGACAGTAACTTCTGGAACTCAGAAACAAGCTCAGTTTCATCTTTCTTTTTTCATAATTCACCTCCTAAGCCCACCTCAACCTGTCTAGCTCCTCTCACAGTGCTATATATATCACAAGTACTTCATACTTGGTTGTTCATGAATTTATATGAAACAATTACCAATGACTTTTTAAAATGTTCAGCTCCATGATCAAATAAATCTACTCCAAGAATCTAGTCTAAGAAAATAATGAGAGATGTCAACATCAATTGATATATAAGGATATTCTCTGAAGGGCAATTTAAAAGGTTACTTATAAGAGCAAACAAAATTGGCAAAAATATAAATGTCAAACAACAGAAAACCCACCAAAAAAAAAAAAATAAGCACCATCTCTAAAAAGCTCAGCACACAATAGAACACTCTGTAAACTGTCAATACTTATGAGACATAAGAAAATTCTCTGAGTACCACACAAATAAGGAAGATTGGCTGAGTCCCACTAGCAGTAAGGACAGCCTGCATCTGTATGAACACATATGCAGAGCTATGCTTCCCAGAAGTCCTGAACATCACTCCTGTTCAAGATTGCAAATGATCTGTCTGCTTCATCAGAGCTTCATTACTTCATAAGGGAGAAGTATAGGCATAATTAAGTTATCAGAGGGGAAAAAAAAAAAAAACTAGAGTACCTTAAAATATACTCCAAGAAATGCTTATAAAAATAGTTTTCTAGACAGTGGTAGAATGCATATGCAAAGGCTGGGGTTCCATCCCCAATACTGCAAAAAATTTTGAAGAAAGAACTAACATTTCTAATAAAAAGGAAAGAGAGATAAGAGGCATAATTAAGAAAGCACCCCTTCCAAAAGGGTGAGTATATCAGGAGGAACTAGAAAGAAACCACACATGCCAAGAAGCTAAATAAAGCAGAAATAAGAACCCAAGGGGTAAGAAGCATTCCAAGATCTCTTTGAGAAATTTTAAAAAAGCAAAAAAGCTAATGATACCAAGGTGACATGTTTTCATTATCACTTTCTTCCCCTTTCCCTAATCAAGTAAGAATGTCTCTCGGAAACATGTCAACACACAGTTTTTAGTGCGAAATCTACCTATTTTTAATACTTTTTTAGTGGGTAGGGGGTGTGTAACTCAGAAAAAGAACACCTGTCATTATTTAGGGAAAGGAACAATGTCTTATGAGAACTGCACAGTGAAAACAGTACAGTCCTTATCCTTGGACTTCCCAGCAGGCATATTCTGCCAAGCACCTCATTACAACTTTTTTGACAGGACAAATCAAAGGCTCCCCACCTACCTGTTGGCCTCTTTAGTCACAGTGACACAGACTGAGTAAGGACGACTAAAGGGGTGGGAAAGTGACTTGAGTATTCACACTGACTAAAATAGTCCTTCCCAAGATGAAATATTAACCACATATGAAATCTCAAATGAAAATACAGCTTCAAGCAAGATACATACCACACAAGGAATGAACAAAATGTTCTCTAAAACAGAGGAAAGGGCAGTCAGTCGCGAAATGCTGCAAGCAGTAATGAGCAACATCCCAAAGATCTTTAAAAAAAAGGAAGACTCTCATCCCCTCCATATCTCGCCTGCCAATAAAAGTATAAACATTTTTTAAAAGGCAGATGCCCACAGAACCCTTGACTCTCCAAGTTCAAGGTTGGCTTAGCCTCATCAAAGTTTGTGTGCATTTCCTTAAGCCTCCTAGTGGAATGAGTTATTATCAGTTTGAAGTAGCAAGACTGCACTTCCTATCTGGAGTATTGAACCACTGGAGGGAGTTCAGCATGGTTCTGTTCAAGCATATCAGGTTGGAACATCCTTGCTAGAAACAAAAGATTTTAATTGATTAGTAGCACTATTCTAAAACTACTTGCTTTCTTATGCAATCTGAAAGAACAGAAGCCAAATATGAAGATGAGTTGTCCAAGGACTGAATGCTTAACTAACTTATGTCCATGTTTTTATAAAGAACACCTGACTACTACAAATTGATAAGCATTAACAAATTCTTAAAATTGCCTGGCAAAGGTAAGCTCTCATGGGCTAAAAAGAAATAAATATATTTACTGCTTTGCACTCAATCAACAAGTATGCTTTCTTCCAGCCTCCTTTCTGACTATTGAAAAGATGGAAAGTTTTTTATAACTGAAAATATGGTATCATATATGACAAATCTCTTACACTAAAATACAAATAGCATACAATTTAGATAAGATTAACAGATTAGTATTTGAAAGGTTAAGCAAAAGAAAATTCAAAGGTCATTACACATTACACTCTCTGTGTGTTTGTGAATATGATTTCACCCAGAAAGATATGTGTAGACCAAAGGAAAGTGTGGCATCCGGCTATATGAAATACTACTGCATATAGCGAAAAAGCTTACTGAATATGTAACAATTTCTAAGACAAATATTATCAGTGTCTCACAACACTGATATTTAAATGGAAATAGTGTAAATATCCTACAATGGGAGGAAGATAAATCAACTACAGTACACCTGACAATGGAAAATTTAACATTCCCTAAAAATATTTTCTATAAAATTCACAAATGTGGAGATGCGAAAACAGAAATAATCAGGATGTAAATATACGGATATAGCACAACTCCCAGTGTCTTCACTAACAATTTAATACTGGCTTGCTGCTTGGATTTGAAGTTATGGATACTTTTATTTTGCTCAACTCATTTTCCCAGTGTTTCTTGATGACAGACATGTTATTTAAAGCAAGGCCAGTGAGGTGTGTGTGGTCCACTGGCAGTGAGCACCTCACTCCCTGTGCATGCCCTCCTTTACTTCCAGGCTGGGCTCCAGACCCTCCCAACACATACTCACAGGACAGAGTCTGCGCACAAACAATACTCGCCTCTTCACATTGATTCATACCACTACATGAGATTTTTATGGGCACTAATGAGAGAGGATTTCCTTGGGGTAAAGCCATGTAACATTTCAGGGTTCAATGTCCAGCTTCCCAGGTGAGGAAAGACACAGTGAACACACCTGGAGTGAGCATGCTGGTGTCCAATGAGTAGACTCCTGTTGCTCCCTCCTGTGACAGAGGCAGGCCAGATGTGTGCCACTATACAGTTTTCAAAACGCTTCAGGCCCAGGCTCAGACATGCTGTATGAGCACTTCCAATGATGTCATGCGAAAAAAATGCTACATACTAAGTCCTTTCATGTTTGAAATGTATTTTATAGTAAAACCAGTTCTGTTTGCTGAGACTGCAGCTGAATCACACCCTCAAGATGTTGAATGACTTAAAAAGAAAGCCCTGGTTACATTAATGCCTTTTCTGACCTGCATCCTTCAACTGATGAAACTCTTTGAAAGTTCTTTTTTTAAAACTGCATCCTTGACTTGCTTATACACTTGTGAATTCCCACATAAAGTTAGATCTATTCTAAACATAAGTTAAATGTCATGAGGCCTTTTCATGAGCTAGATTCAGCTTCACTGGATAGTACACTAAATAATAAAGTTTCAAGCTGATCTTAATGAGAAGATAGCTCAATGTGGTTCCTCATAGAATGTATAATAATGAAATATTTCAGAAACTAAAGTACACTCTATTTTTTCTTATAGATTCTTGTCGATTTTGACATTATTTATTACTATTACTATTAGTATTACTATTGTTTTTGCAGTACTGGAGAACAAACCTAGAGTCTTGTGCAAGCTAGACCAGTCTGTACCTTGAGTTACATTCCTATCCTGGTCCTTCTAAATTTAAACTTATGTATCCTTATGTGCATTTTTTACTTGAACTATACAGACAGGAATTTGTTGAAATGCAAAACAAAGCTAACAGGAAATTTTAACAGGCATTTTTACATAGATGAAAAGCACAAATCAAGATAATCTCAAACTACATCCATTTTGATACTAATGTGATTACACTGTTTCATATTTCTCATTACATACTGTGCTGAATTTCTGGCTACATTGAAAATGTTTAATGATTCATTGACAGATGTTTATTGAGCATTTATTCTACAGATTCAGCAGTGAAAATGGCAAACACATAGCTCATTGGGTAAAGGCTGGAGGTATGGTGGAATAGGGAGATAGGGGTTCTATAGGAGGAGATAACAAACAGCATTAACAAGTGGATTTTTGAAAATAGACTACAGAGACTTATGCTTATTTATTTGGACTAAATAAATTAAATCAAGAACTAAAATTAATTAGGTCAAGAAAGCAAACCATATTAAGACTAGATGGCACACTTCCAGTTTGAAGGGAAACTTACAGGGGATTAAAAAATATCAATCGGACAGTAAGAATAAAGTATCATGCTTAAAGTTCTTTAACCTGTAAGTTGTTTAATGCACCTCCTCTGGTAACATGGATCATTGTGCATGTCTAAATTATCCCTGTAAGGACATACAGAAAGCAAATGAAGGAGTTGCCTATGAATAGAAATGGAGGGGACAAGGAGACAAAATGGGAAGGGGACTTCATAGGGAACACATTTCATGTTGGGGGTTTTCCTTTTGGAGGGCCACAGGCTCAGTGACAGAGCACTTGACTAGCAATGTTTGAGCCTTGGCTTCCATCCCAAGGGCCAGGGGGTTAAAAAAAAAAAAAAAGAGTATTTCCTTTTTAAAAATACAAATATATTACCAATTCAAAACATGAATATATAGATAAATGCTCACCATAAGTAACACTGAAATTTATCAGAAAACTCAAGCATGATGTAAAACAGGAGGTTATCTGAAATTTGCTGTGAAAGTCAGTGATGTACACACTCAGGACCACAATGAGGCTGTCCTAGAAGAGCATGGGCCACCTAACGGGGACACTCATCACTGACACTGAGGAGAGGAGATGCAGACACAAGTGGAGGAGGTTACCTTCCTGTCACAAGCTTTGGGGCTACCAGCAGTATTCTGCTTGAGGAAGCCAGCTGTTGTTGACCAACGGGTGGGGTTTTTCCTTGAGGGCTCTTCAGATGAAAAATTATTATCGCTGACAGAAGTTGAGAGACCAAGTAAAGCTGGATCACTACTTCGACGAACATGAAGAGGCATATCTATAAACACAAAGAAAACACTGGGTTTAAAAATTAGACAGTAAAGTCTGAAAACCATATGTCGGAACACATACAATTAAAGCCCACGAATTACAGAATACAATAACACTTGTTTAAAAAAGTCAGTGGGATGGCATTCTAAATACAAATTCCACTGATTACTTTAAAACACTTCTGGTTAACAAGACATGGTGAGGTATCTGGCTCTGAAGATTGTCTGGGCTGGTATATAGGCTTCTCTACCTGCTTTCTGTGTGGCATCAAGTCAAGTTACTTACCTGTCCTCTGCCTCTAGTCCCTTCCTACTGGACTAACAATAAAATGATACCCTCTTTCATGAGGGTATTATGAGGACTAAAGAGACAACAGTGTCCAGCACACAGTGTATACTCAACAGAGCAACAACAATAATCATTACTGCTTTAATACTCCAGTATTCCAAATTAAGCTATCACATACGTTATAAAAGCTAAATAATAAATCCAGCAACTATACACATTTCATCTAATTTTGTATCTAATGAATTAAAAATACAAACCTAAACAATGCTTGATGCTTGTCTAGTCAATTAAAAGAATTTTCTTGAACATCCAGGATACCAAAATAAGCTATCATACATGTTATAAAAGATAAATAACAAATTAACCAAATACACACATTTATTTCATCTAACTTTTTATCTAATGAACTAAAAATATACACTCTAGACACTGCTTGTCTAGTTAAGTAAAAGAATTTTCTTGAACAGAATGCTTCTTTTATTTGATAAAGTATTATTAGAAAGTGTAGAGTACAAAAATATTTATTTTGTTTAAGACAATCTTAAAATGACTATGTGAACACACAGGTGGGTTTTGCCATATACTCAGACACAATTATGTGAAAGAGAATTTAGCAACTGTCATCATACAGAAGAGTTTGCTTGTAACTGCTGTAACAAAGTCAGTAACAAATTCAGGCAAACACTTGTGTTAGTACCACTGGGAACATCTTGGCAGACAGGATCACTGTGACAGCAGAGGAGAAACAGAACTATAAAAAAGCAGAGAGAAGAATAAAAGCGTATGAGTTTGTAACTGGCAAAGTCAGAACCAGAATCCCCACTCACCAGCTGAAATCACTCAGAAACATAAGCAGAAGACACAAAATTTTGGATGAAGTTATGTGTAGAAAAATCTGTTTTCGTATGTTCTTGCACATATGCGGACTTTACATCTAGGGTAAATGCAGCAATGTAGTTGGACTTGAACACATGACAAGGAGAGAGAGCACATACGGGTGACATAGAATTAGGTAGAAAACCCAAAACATGGAAGCATTTGATGTCCCCACTCCAGAGGAACTAATACAGAAACCTTAAAGTGACAGAGGTTATCATGAGAAGAGGATCAGTAACCAGTGTAAAGATCAGTTAGAGATGAATCAACATGGGTCATAACATGTGTACACGAAAGCAATGGTAGGAATATTTCTGTATAGCTATCCTTAACTCAACTAGCAAAAACACTTTGTCTTCCTTATTATGCTTGTGTCTTTTCTTCAACAAAACTAGTGATACAGGCAGAACAGGACCTGCCTGGAACTAAGGGGGGAAATGGGGGGGGGAGGGGGAGAAATGACCCAAACAATGTATGCACATGTGAATAAATGAATAATAAAAAAAAAGAAAAATCTGTTTTCAAAAAACAAGGATACAAGACTTTATGTTAAAAAACAACTCTAGCCCAATAGTTTAAACCATGAAGCAATAAACTTATCCTTTACTCTAGAAGAAGTAATTTGGAGAAATGGAGGCATGGGTCAATGGTGTGGACACAACAATCCGTGAGGATGCTGAAGACAGTCTGTTCACATAACTGCTGGATACATTTGAACCACCATCAATCCAATAAGTATCCAAATTAGAAATGATCAGAAAAAACAGAAGTATATGAATCACAGTAATACTACTGCATTTAACATTTGCTCTACATCAGAGGATTTGGTAACAAAACTACACCTGAAGCAGCATTATCAGAGAAGGGAAAATGCTCGTCATTTCATTTATTGCTGGTTATCTTAATTTGCTAGGAGAAACACATACACGAAAATTACAGAGGATCATTTCTGGTTTTATAAGTGTATGTAAATACCTGTGACAGCCATCACTGCTTATTCTTTGCAAAAACAAATAAACAAAAACAGCCAGTAAGAACTACATAGTCACTCACAACTATACACATTTATGTGTTGTTAATATTTCCAAGTTCTTGTTACAAGGAAAGTTCTCTTTCAGAAGGCAACAAGTTATTCCCAGAATCTTTAAATGAAAACTGTAACCAAATAGGTGGGGGAGGTACAGAACTAAAATACTCTAGACAATTACAGTAATGTTACTTAGATGTGTGTTCTGTCGATTTCCAATGACAGGGTAGTTAGTTATTCGGTCATTAAGCAATTATGCACACCCATCTTCCACCCCTATCCTCTTCCCCACCCCTTAGTTTTAAGTCTCAAAGATATACTATTAGCTCACAGGAGAAGGTCTTTAAAAATTGTGCAGCCATAAGAATCAAAGGAGTACCCACAACCTATAGTAAAATATACTTTTATGTGTATTCAATTCCAAACTAAATTCAGGAGCTATATAATTTCATTGAATTGGCTCAGCCACACAAAACAACTTACTCCAATTTGTGTTTGTAAACTTCCTCCAGAGAATACATTGCATACGTGATTTCGATTAGACAAATAATTAGGACCATTATCTTTTGACTAGATGAGAGCACTGTGCTAATCTATTAGTCTAACACAGATAAAAATAATTTGCATTTTATCTCTCTATGCATCTGTAACTCTCTAAGAAACCTAACTGTGGGGCTTAGAGACAGGGAGGCTGCAGACTGTGTGGGTTGTCTCTGCCAGGGGGCTGCAGGGCACACAGCCAGGACAGCATCTACACAAACTGCATTGTGATGGCTGCCCCACAGCCCTTCCTGTGAGTGCTTCACACATTCAACCATGTTTTAATTTTAATGAAATTGATTACAAAGATTAATATAAATATAATCTGGGTCTTTTCATGGCACTGCCTGCTAACCGAATACCCCCCATATAATTCCAGGCCTCACTTTTATCTCTGTGCCCATTGTCAAATTCAAGAGGGTGTCCTAGAGTTGCTTGCCAGGTTGAGGAGAAGGGCACAAAACTCAATGGAAGAAGTACACGGTGAGTTCTCAAAGGAGGAATGACAAGTGACATCTTAATGATGCTGAAATGCAGGTCTCCTCACAGTTTGAAGGGCTGTAGGAACACGGTCATCATAGTTCAGAAAAGCAGCCTAATCTGGTCCAAATGAAAAGACCCAATATAACATTACCTGGAGTAAGCCAGGTGCACAAAGACATATAGCACACGATCTCATTCTCAGGGGCAAGCTTTGTAAGCTGGCCTCACAGAAGCAGAAAACAGAAGAGTAGGCACTAGAGGCTGGTGACTGGACGGGGGAAGGACTAGAGGTGGGTGAGTGAATACAGATAAATGACAGAATAAGTTCTAGTGTTTTATAGTACAGTAGGGAGGCTACCTTTAACAATTATTTAATATGCATTTCAAAATAGCTAAAACAAAGGATTTTGAATATTTGCAATACAAAGAAATGTTGCTTAAATGTTTAAGAAAATGGACATGCTTATTACCCATTACATGTTCTATACAAATATCACTATGTACTGTATGCATAAGGAAACATCACACTCTACTCCATAAATATGTCCAATTACTTTGTGTGGATTGAATATGTTAAAGAGAGAGAGAGACTAAGACCCTAGGGTGACTCTATATTCATACTGCCAAAGAGTTAGAGTCAGCAAGGCGTCATTATCTCTCACAATGATGCTGCTGCCCACTTGGATGCAGATTGCTTTATAATTTCTTCCTGGTTTTGTGGTTTCATGAAAATTATAAGCCATTATTATCCAGCTCACAAATGCACACATACTAGTAACAATGTATTAAAGCCAATAACTTAACTTGGAGGACTTCGATTTTTTTCCCCCTGTGGTACTGGGGCCTGAATTCAGGGCTTTTACCTTGAGTCACTCCACCAGCCCAATTTTTTGTGATAAGGTTTTTCAAGACAGGGTCTCACAAACTATTTCCCCAGGGTGGCTTCAAACTGTGATCCTCCTAATCTCTGCCACCGGAGTAGCTTGGATTACAGGTGTGAGCCACTGGTGCCTGGCTGGAAGTATTTTTTAAAATATGGATCTCTGCATTAGTCACAACAGAAAAACATGGGACTCACATCACAGATGAGTAAGATGGGGGCTCAGAATGAGGACAAGAGGAGCCTAGAGCCACAGAACAATTTCCCAGTTGAGATGTGAGGCTCTAGGCCAGTGTTCAGTCACTATCCAAACCAGGAAATTTAATTATTCAGCAATATATTAGTAGACAAATTCCTTTTTTTAAATTTATATTCGTTTATTCACATGTGCATACATTGTTTGGGTCATTGCTCGCCCCTATCCCCCATCCACTCCCTTTCTCCCCCCACCCCCCTCACTTCCAGGCAGAATCTGTTCTGCCCTTATCTCTAATTTTGTTGGAGAGAAAACAAAAGCAATAATAAGAGAGACAAAGCGTTTTTGCTGGTTGAGGTAAAATGTACCAATGTGTTACATCCCAAGTTAATTCATCTCTTACTGACTTTTTCACTAGTTCCTGATCCCCTTCCCATGTTGGGGTCTGTCACTTTAAGGTTTCTGTATTAGTTCCTCTAATAGTAGAGACATCAAATACTTTCATGTTTTGGGTTTCTTACCTATCCCCATGCTTCCCATGAGTGCTTATCCCTTATAATGTGCTCCAAATCCAACCACATTGCTGTATTTGCCCTAGATCTAAAGTCTGCATATGAGGGAGAACATATGATTTTTGGTCTTCTGAGCCTGGCTAACCTCACTGAAGATGATGTTCTCCAGTTCCATCCATTTACTTGCAAATGATAAGATTTCATT